GCGGAGGAGGACGACGTCACCCAGAGAGTTCCTCTCTCCCACGTTGGAGGGATCGGGAGGGCAGCCGAGGAGGCCGCCCCGAGCGGGCGCATCGACCCCGACGGCCGCTCCAGTGGAAGGGCGCGCGGCATGATAGCAGGGCGCAGGAGGGCCCCCCCCGCAGTGTCTCCCCCCCTGGAGAGTCCAGCGCCCTCCATACATAGTAGCAGAAGACTGGGAGTTCGTCGACCTCGGGGGAGGTACCAGGTTCTCCAGGATAGAGAAGGAGGCTTGATCTCGCAGGATGGGCCCCCCCTGGCCCCCAGCAGGGGCCGCGGCGGAGACGTCGCGAGGGGCCCCGCGCGCCAGGGCCCACGCGAGACCCGCGAAGGCCAACGAGAGCCCCCCCAGGCCCACTTCATTGCAGAAGAGCCACAGCCACCAAAGGGGGGCTCTGCAGCTCTGCAGGGCCGCCCAGTCTCGCCATGGGCGATCCGACGGGCGCCCCCGCTAGAGGTGACTCCCAGGCGCCGAGCGTGGCCCCGCGATGCGGCCTTAGTGCCGCCGGATCCCCGTCGAGTTCGACCGACCCGCGTCCGCCCGACTCCCATTGCCCCTTCTCCTCGCACTTCCGCCTCATACTTTCTGCTCAGCGGCTCAAGTCCCCCGTGCGGCCTAGAATCGGCCCAACTCGGCACCTCTCCCTCCGCGCCTCCTGGCCCCCCTGGGCACGCGCGGGGCTGGGGCCCGCTTGCGGCGGCGCCCGGCACCGCGAACGCCGACGCCCCTCCCGCGGGCGAGCCTCCCGCCCCACTGCAGGGCCCGCGGAGGGAACGACGCGCGCGGTGGGGGCGGGCGCGCGGCGCGGAAGACTTGGCCGGGCGGGGTGCGAGCCCCCCCCCAGGATCCGCCAGGGAGGGGGCCCCAGTGGGCCCCTGCGTCGCGGGCCCGCGCGGCACTGGACGCGGCGGCCCTCTTGCCGCGCTCCTTGGGGCCTCAGAGCGATCAGGGCCCCCCTGGCAGGGGCGCGCCGCCGCCCCTGCGCGCTCCCAGGCACGGCGGAGTAACTTGGATGTCCTCGCCCACAACGCGCGGTCAGGACACCGCCCGCTCCGCGCCGCAGGCGGCCCAGGAGGCCCGCTGGGGGGCAACGGCCAAGATTTTGGTCTGGATGGCGGCGATTTAGCCCAACATGTGGCCATCGCCCTTTGCCATCTCGACGCCCCCGGCCTCGCCTGGTCCATCGACGGCTGCGACTGCGATGCGAGACTTTGGGGGGGGGGGGGGGGGGTCAGGCCCTGCCGTGCCCGGATGTTAGCCCTCCGATTTCTCGCGGTGGTCTTCGACCCGGGCCTCCTCTGATTCGAGCGGGACCTGAGTCGAGCAAGAGCCGGAGAGGGGGCCCCGTCTCCAGCCGAACTCTACGATGATGATACCTCCACCGCCGAGACGGACGCGGCAGCGGCCGAGTGCGCAGCCGTGGTCGGGGCGGCCACGTGCCGCGGTTTCGCCCCCGCGGACCCCCTCGCGGACGGAGGCAGCCGCCAGCCCGCGCAACCTGTCCTGGAAGTCTTGGGGCCTGAGACCAACGTCCTGCACCTAAGCCCTTGGGGGCCAGTCACCGTCGCCAGAGCCGCCAGAACCCTAGTCCGCGAGCGCAGATGGGGCAGACATCATGCATCTCCCGACCCGCGATCACCTCGCCAGATGGGCTCGCATCAATGGCACTGCAGACTGTGCAGGGCACGACGTCCACTCCCTCGCGCAGCTAGGGGAAGGCCCACTCCAGTGGTCTACTCCAGCCGTCCTCCAGCCGCACGTGCCGATGGTGGACGGCGCGCCAGTCCAGCACTAGGCAATGCTCCTACTGGCAACAGGCGGTAGTCCCTATTCTCATTGGCCCTGGGACCGCGGCGCGCGCAGGCTGCTCATTGAGCCGTTCTTCGCCCCCACCCCTCGATGCACCCGGTGCGTCACGTGGGCCCTGCGAGACCCCGCTCCCGAAAAGTGCCCCGCCTGCCGCCAGATGGGGGCCCCGTGGAGAGTGCTCGGCGGCCTTCGCCCCAACGGCGCCAGACCCGCGCCGCTCCTCCCGCTGGGCGACCTCAGCCCCCGATTAGCTGCCAACCGATTCGCTCCGATCCAATGCCACCTATATCCAGAGGGGGCCGGAACCGTGGACTGCGCAGCCACGTGGCTGGTCACAGAGCTCCTCGGAGCGTGGAGGCACATGGCGGAGCACCGTGGCGATCTCCGCCTCGACCTCGACGCCGCGCGCGCGGTGTCCTCCAACCGAGAAGCGGACATCGTTGCCGCCGCCGTCGCCCTGTCCAGACTCTGCGCCGCGCCCGTCGACTGGGCTGCCACCGCCTATGCGCAATATCCACGCAGGCCAAAACGACTCGATCCGACCCCTCCTAATGACCAGCGGCGTCATCGTGGGAAGCAGGCCCAACCCTGCCGTCAGCAGCCTTCCAGCAGTGCCGACCGAGATGGGGCCGCCACCTTAGACCGCGAACGACTGCCAGTGGCTCCTCAGACGAGTCGGCCCCTCGGCCCCGCAAATGGAACTCCGGCCTCGCGGTCCCATGCTGGATTCCACTGCGACCGAAACGCTGGCGGCGAGGTCCATGGTCCGTTCGTGCGCCGCGCTCGCCAGAGAAGATGGCATGCATTTCCTTGCGTGCCGACTGCACATGGCAGACCCCCTCGGCGTCGCCCCCGGGAGGGACGTAGTGCTCTAAACTCGAGCCTTACAGCCCCCCAAGACGGGCCCCCGGACCCGGATGACATTCAGATGGATGACGTCGCCGAGAACAACACGCTGATTCAGAGCCACCGCGCTCTCACTCGCCCACCGCTCCATCACGTAATAGATCTCCCCAGGAGGAATCCCGACCTCCCGGCGGCTCACCAATTAGGGATCGAGGCCTTCGTCCGCGAAGACACGCGCATAAAACGATTGACCGCCAACGACGAAATGCCCGCTGGATACGCATGGAGTCGCATTCTCGTCCCTTCATATGGGACTAGGCCACCGATGGTGGAAGGGCCGCCCTCGCCGAGGCTTTCCTCGCAACCCGCCTCAGCTTGGCACCCGTGGAGCAAACTGGAATTGGTGGAGAGCCAGAGGATCCAGGTTAATTGCCGGCGCGCTGAGCAGTATCGTTGATGCCACTATCCAGCACAACCGCCAGCTCCCTCCCGGTTTCTCTCCCCTGTCCGCCCCAAACCTCGGGAGATACACACACATATATGTGTATGTATATGTATATATATATATATATATTTATATATATATATATATATATATAGCGCAAGGAAAGATACCAGGAGCGGCAGCGGGAGGAGGAGGGGGAGGGGGAGGAGGGGAAGGGGAAGGGGGAAGGGGAGGAGGAGGAGGGGGGAGCGGGAGGAGGAGGAGGGGGAGGACGCAGAGGAGGCGAAAGAGGAGGAGGAGGAAAAGGAGGAGGAAGAGGAGGAGGAGGAGGAGGAGGAGGAGGAGGAGGTGGTGAAAAAGGAAAAGGAGGAGGAGGAGGGGGAGGAGGAGGAGGAGGAGGAAGAGGAGGAGGAGGAGGAGTAGGAGGAGGAGGAGGAGGTAGAGCAGGAAGGAGGAGGAGGTCGAGCAAAAGGGCCAGGGGCCTCTTGGACGCTTCTCGGAGTACCTTGGGATATCTCTCGGGTGCCTCGTTGAAACCTGTTGGGGCGTCTCGGGGTCCCTTGGCGATCCAGGAGGCTCGTGGACGTGTTGGGTGTCTCGGGGGGGGCCTGTTGTGGCCGCTAGGGGTCCTCATGGGGACCTCTTGGGGGTCTTTTTGGGGCCTCTTGTGGGCCTCTTGGGGCCATCTTGAGGCTTCTTGGGGCCTCCTGGGCGCCTGTTGGGGCCATTTTGGGGGACTTTGATAAAGAAAAGGGGGGGTACTGAATTTGAGGTTATCTTGGAACCGTTTTGGTGTTGTTTTGGGGGTTCTCTTGAGGCTCTTGGTTTTTTTTTAAGGCCCGCTTGGAGCTCTCTGGGGGGTTCTTGGGGTCCTCTTGGTTTTCCTTCGGAGCGTCTGGCGGCCCTCTTGGCGCCCTCCTTGGGCTCTTTTGGGGTCCTCTTGGGAGTTATGGAGCGCTTCCTGGGGCCATCGTGGAGGCGATCGATTAAAGGAGGGGGGGCCCAAAATGTGCGTCCCCCCCTCGGGGGCTCTAGAAATCGCCTCTTAGGGTCCTTGCGGGGCGCTTTCGAAGCGATCTTGGACGCCCTTGGGCCGTCTTGGGACCTCTTGGACCTTTTGTTTATACCTTTCTTGGGCCATCTCGGGGCCATCCTGAGGCTTCTGAAGCGCATCGGACGCGAGATGGCGAGAAGGCAACAACTCATGTATTTTCCTTTGAAGATCCGAGAGAGAGGTCCGAGAGGTCCTGGGAGATCCCGAGAGAGCTCCGAGAGCACGTGGAACCGCCTTGTGGCCCTCTTTCCTCCTCCTCCTCGACCTCCCCATCCACCTCCACCTTCTCCTTCTCCTTCTCCTCCTGCTCTTCCTCTCCTCGTCCTCCTCCTCCTCCTCCTCCTCCTTCTCCTCCTCCTCCTCCTCCTCCTCCTCCTCCTCCCCCTCCTCCTGTTCCTCTTCCTCCTCCTCTTCCTTGCGCGATCTTGAGCCATCTTGGAGGCCATCTTGGAGCATCAGTTGCTCTCTAGGAACCATATCGATCGAAAAAGAACTCTCTCTGATGACTTGCGGCCCCCCGCGGCCCAGGTCCCGGGGTGGGGGTAAGGCGGATGGGCGAACCCTTCCCCGAAGGAGATGAAGCAGCTTTTGGAAGAGAAAAGAGAGATATCGTTTGACCACCTGCGCCAAGAGGGCTGCTGGGATTCTCTCATGGCCTTGACGAGAAAAGCAAGTGTTGTGCGAATCAGTTCCGTCGTCGATCCCTTGCCCGAGATCTGCGCGAACGCCGGGCCCGCAACGAACGCAGCTCTGCCGCGTGCCCGTCCTCCCCGCTCCTGCCCCCTCTGGCGGGCGCGCGCCCGCGAGGTCCCGGAGCTCCCCGCCGAGCTGTCCGGGGACACGCTGCCGTCGATGGTCTGGCAGGGCCCCCCGCGGGAGGCCTGCGGCGGCGGCGATCTTCGGCTCGACGCCTCGACGCCTCGACGCCTCGACGCCTGGATCCTCGGTGCCTCGGTGCCTCGGTGCCTCGGTGCCTCGATGCCCCGATGCCTTGATGCTTCGATGCCTCGATGCCTCGGTGTGCCTCGGTGCCCCGATGCCTCGATGCCTCGATGCCTCGACGCCTCGATGCCTCGACGCCTGGGGGGGGGAGCGTGTGCGGATCCACGGCCCCGCGGGCCCAGCGCTGTGGCCGAGACCCAGACGGGTGTGGGGCGCTCCCTCGCGGGCGCCCCGCGCTGCACGTGCCCACGGCAGGCTGGCTTCGTGTCGACTCGCCGCCGCTGGCCCAGAGTCGGCCCAATATGGAACGATCTGGCGGTCGAAATGCCGCCGATCGTTCAAGGTTGAACGATCCAGCGCGGTCTCAGGAACCAGCGCGGGGGTCGACACGGGACCGCGCCCTGGCGACCCCTTCGATCTTCGACCATCTCGACCCCCTCGATCCTCGACATCCTCGACCCTCGACCCCCTCGACCCTCGAGCCCCTCGACCCTCGAGTCCCTCGACCCTCGACCCCCGCGACCCTCGACCCCATTCTCGACCCCCTCGACCCTCGGAGTCCAGACGGGGAGGGCATGAACATGCTTATGCTCGCCGCTCGTGGTCGATCCTGGAACCTCGGTCCTTCCAGGCCTGCACAAAGGGGTCGGAGCAGATGGGGTGGGAGGACCGCGCCGCGTCGTCGACGCATCGCCGATGGGGTTCGATGTGGAGGCCGATTTTTTCCACGCCGACGTCGGCGATGCATCGCCGACGTCGGCGATGCGTCGCCGATGCATCGGCGATGTAACGCCGATGTATTGCCGATGCGGCGCGATCCTCCGACCCCAGCTACTCCGACCCCATCAAAGAGGCATCTAATGGATATGGGTATGTGCGCCGCTCGTGGTTGATCCTGGAACCTGGATACTCCCTGGCCTTCGGTAGCAAATCATGGGAGTCTGGGATGCCCTCTTACTTCTGTCTTTCGCGTCGACTAGCGCCGACTAGCGTCTGGGAGTCGATGAGACAGCGCAGTTTTAGCGTCGACTAGCGTCGATTAGCGTCGACTTGGCGCCAGCGTCGGCTGGCGTGTCGATTTAGCGTCCACTAGCGCCGACTAGTGTTGATCAGCGTCGATTCGCAAGAGCCGACAAGAGGTTATGGGAGGCTCCCATGAGTTGCCACCGACTGTTCGCCGCTCGTGGTCGATCGTGGAACCTCGATCCTCCCTGGCCGCCGGCGAGCACAGCCGGTCACCTGCGGAGCCCCCGGGATCGGGCGCAGCAGCGTCCTGCGAGCTGTGCTCAGCTCCGACCCAGAGATGGACCTCTTCCGCACCACATGTCCGCGCGGAGTTCGACGGATCGGCGCTGGGCCCCCCTGGCGGCGCCCCCAGCGCCGATCCCGAGAAGCCTGCGCGGAGCCCCGAACATTTATGCTCATGCAGGCCTTGCCCTCTTGTGTTTGACCTGCGATGCATCGCCGATTCCAGCCAACTGCTTCCAGCACTCGGAGACTCTCTTTTCAGAAGTCGGGCGACGGCTGGCAAACCCGTGGCTGCTAAAGTGGAGCTCCGGGAAATTGCTTTTTATCTGTCTCCCGGGAAGCCGCCCGTTTACCATTTAGTGCGTTGAGTTTGATTCCGGGAATCTGTTTTTTTTTTTTTTTTTTTTTTCTTTTTAGCAGCCACGGATTTGCCAGCCCTCGCCCAGCTTCCAACCCTTCGCCGTCTCCACGGCCTCCCCCTATTCGGGAGGGGTGGGCGCTGAGGGTGCACGTGTCCCCGCCGAGATCGGGGCGGCATCAGCGGCCTGCGCGCCCGGTCTTGGCCCCCCAGCGTCCCCCGCCCGAGCCGCGCAGCAGGGGCCACTCTGGCGCAGGGCCGCTCTTGCAGTCAGGAGGGAGGGGGGACCCGCACTGAAAGGATGGGCAGCCTTCCCAAGACTGCCCTTGCATCCTTGCCTCCTCGGCCCTTCCTGGGCCACGGTCGTTCGCCCCGGCGCGCTCGAGAGGTGCCGAAACGGCCTTCCAAGGCCCTTGCGTCCTTAGCGTGCGTCCTGATGATACGGGTCGACTGTGCGTGTAGCCGAATCTGACCACTGTTGTTTGGGTGCAGTTCCTCCCTCCCCTGCCCCCCTCCCCCCCCCCCTGCCCTCCCTCCCCCACCTTGCTCCCCCCCCCTCCCCCCTCGCGCCGGTCCCTCTCCCCCTGCCCTCCCTCGCCCACTTCCCCCCCTCCGCTCCCCCGTCGCCCGCTTGCCGCCTCATCTCCGTCCTCCTCTAATCCGCCCCGCTAAAACCACCTATCCCGCCTCCTCATCATCATCCTACTCCTACTCCTCCGCTCCTCCTCATCCTCCCTCCGCCTCCTCTCCTCTCCCTCTCCTCCTTCCTCCTCCTCCTCCCTCCTCCTCCTCTCCTTTCCTCCCTCTCCTCATCTCTCCTCTCCTACTCTCTTCCTCCTCCCCCTCTTCCTCCTCCTCCTCCTCCTCCTCCTCCTCCTCCTCCTCCTCCTCCTCGCGCCGCCGGAAGATCGCCGCCCTCGGCCAGACGAGCAGCTCCTTCGGCCACGTCGTGTGGGCTGCCCGGCCTCCTCCTTTCTCCTGGCCCGCCGCCGGCCGCTCGGGCACCCGGGAGGTCGGGGGCGAGTGCAACGGGGGTCTGGCTGCGATACATCGCCGATGCGCAGATCGGGGCGACGCATCGCTCAGGATCGTTTCACCGACCCCCATCCCCATCCTCATTCCCTTCGAGACCCCACCAAATTACCACCCCACTTGGGGATGCACCCCTCGAAACCCGAATGGAACGGCCTAGAGCCCCATCTAAGGGGGTAAATCAGCCGGTGGGGCCCAGGCCACGCCGCTGGGGACGGGTATCCGGTGAACGATACTCAATCGCCGATCTATATCGGCGATGTATCGCCGATGCCAGGTCGATGCTTTCCTCCCTGTGCCTCTCGTCGTTGAAAGTAGGTACTGTTGGAGTCCCATGTTCCAATGTGCTTTAAGCGCCTTCCTACTTCAATGATCGAGTGACTTCACCTTGTCCGTCCTCTTTGGAGGGCGGGCGGACACCCAATCTATTTTCAACGCTTTCCTACTTCATGTTTCTACCTACTTCTTCCGACCGATGGGTACCAGTCCCCCCCCATCCTTGTCCCTCAGTTGAACGCCGCCGCCGACCCAGAATCGGACAATGTTGAACGGGAATTGCGTTCCGCATTTCGAAATGACTTTCGTGCGGATTTTTTTGGCCAGGAATGAAGACTACAAACCATCCATGTGAATGCACTTCGTTTTTCGCTCGCCGTTTCAGGTTTTGCATCGACGGAGATCTGCGCAACAATCCGCTGCAGCACGTCTGCAACGTCGGTGCAGTGCGACCAGGGGCGGCACAGTTCAGGAAGAGCATGCATTTTTTCGACTCTGTGCCTGAAGCGACGATTCTGTCGCATGTGCCTGCCTCCGTCTCGTAAGGTGCGTGGCAAGATCTGCAGCGTCCCGACACATTTGGCGTGGCGGTTACGCAAGGTGGTTCGAGAACCGAAGTGCCTTGTCTGATATCGCCAGCATCATTGCAGGAAGGTGTTTTTTGCACCGACTCCTAGTTATGCACATGCCGTTTGGGTGACAACCACGGCCGGGTCTAGCACGCTTGTCCTCCTCGGCATGCAGTGCGGGGCCTCAGTTGTACGCAAGGTGGCCAACGCTCTACGCCCATGCCTTCCCTTCCCCAACAGCGACCTTGGGAAGCTTAAGAGTGGGGTGGGGTCTTCAAGTCGGACGACGGCAGCTATACACCGACACCGATTTTGACCAAGCCCATCCCAGGCCCAACATCGGTGTATGCGCCGTCCTGGCTGGGCTTGGAAGGCGTACACGCCGATCCTGTGCCCAGGATGGGCCTGGCCAATGCCGGTGTCGGTGCAGTCGTCGCCGGTGCGTCGGGCACCCTCGCCGAGGTCCAACTGTCTGCGGACATCCTGCAAGCTCCAAGCCCTGGACAGAGTCTCAGAAATCGGACCCTGCAGGGGCAGGCATGGCCCTCGTGTGGGAGCGGGCGGAGAGATAGGGATGGAGGGAGTCGCGGGGAGAGGAACAGGGCGGAGAGGAGCGGGGAGGGAGGGATGGCGCCAGAGCACCCTCCTCCTC